TGACCGCCACTGTAATACGAATTAAATGATTTTTACGTGGTTTATTTAGTATTTTTTAATTTTCATCATTAAAAACAATTTTTTTAAAACACCTTATTCACTCTTTTTACCAGATCTATAACCACTTTCTTACCAGTTTTAATATTATTTTTATTGAATGTACTTTAATGGAATTACATTGAAACACAATAAAAACAATAAATCAAGTCCTTTTTTTCCTTGCAACAAAAAATACAATAAAAACTGAATTAATTAGAAGCTCAATAAAACCAATAAATTGTCAATATTCTTTTTAAACAAGCCCTCATTTTTTAAGACCAACTCTTTAAGTAACGAATTTAGCTTAGAATATATAAAACTTTTGTGTATTCTATGATTATGCTTGCAATTACTTAATGAACTTATTATGTTTTAAATAAGAACATCTATAATAGGATTTATAAAAATTTCAATTTTATAAACAGTGAAATGTAAGAATTATATAGGATTTTTCGATCAATATAATAATCGTTGCAACCAAATGAATAAAATAGAATTCTCAAGTGTTTTTTTGCAATCAATATAATAATCATTGCAACCAATTGAATAACTATTGCAATCAATTGAATAATTCAACTGTAATTTTTGTAATTTTGCAATCAATATCATATTTTTTGCAACCATATGAATAATTGTTGCAATTAATTGCGTATAACAGCTGGTTAAATACGGTTTTTGTAATCAATTACATAAGTTTTGCAATAAATTACATAATCACATTTTCTTCAGGATTTATAATACATAAAACGAAAAATATTTTTTAAAAAAAATTTTACCCATTATGAGTCAAAGAAATTTAAACAATTATTTAAATATAATTAATGAGGCAGAAGAATCAGTATGTAAAGTTGGTGATGCAGAAAAATCAGTATGTAAAGTTGGTGATACAGAAGCAATAGCAGCTCTGGTAAGGGTCAGCAGCCGGGTCTGAGGAGGCAACGTAAAGTTGTCTCCAATGATGACAGACAAAGGATAGTGACTAAGTCACATGAAGGTCACTCGGTTCGTGCCATAGCAGATATGCTAGTAATGCCTTATCAGACTGTAAATAGCATTGTTAAACGTTATAATACTTCTGGTAAGGTATTACTACAATCTCGTAGTGGTGACAGGCGTTCTAAACTTAGTTTAGATATAAAAGAAGTAATTCTTACCTGGGTGGATGATGAACTCATTCTTAGGTTAAAAGATTTAAGAATTAAAGTCATCGAGAC